AAATTTTTTATAAATTTTGAGTTATTTTAAGTTAAACTGAACTCATCGCACTATTTTAAAAAAATCCAAAAAATTCAAAAAATGTCAAAGAAAAGTTCACAGTGCATGAGCGCTTTGTACGCAGAAAAAAACCTAATAGTTACCTGATGTTTCGAATGGAGTAGCTGCTGGATCTGTTCCCATTTCACTGGCGAGCAAATTTGCTTGATGATTGCCTCGCGAATTTGCTTATCCTTGTATGTATGTAATTTACCCGTATAATTTGAATAAATGTTCACTCGTGGAGGCAACTGGATTGTTACATCTGAAGAATTTCCTCTCTCACAAGCAAATGCTCTTTCAAAAAGTTTTGCTTTTTATCAACTAATTTTTTATTTATTTCTCGAAAATAAGTACACATTGACTTAAAATCAAAGTGAGTGCAAAGAAAAAGAAGTGGTAGGATTTTTCGAAAAAAGCATACACTGACTTAAAATCAAAGTGACTGAGCAAAGAAGTAGAAGGGGTAGGAAGGGCCATCGGGGCCCAACCAAGAAGTGATCATTTCAAATAGGAATGTCTTCGTTGTAGTAGACGAGGGTTGCTAATGAAAACTTCAGTACCATAAGTGCCAGTGTAAAATATGTTGGTCACAAACTTCTTAGGAAGTTGTAAAAATCTAGGGGTGTCAAAGTAACGCAAGAGAAAATGAACGGTGCATGTGAAGCGGCCGGAGTGGATGAAATTGTAAAAGGATTTTTGGGTCTATGAATGGCCGAAACAGAGGTTCTGAAACAACGGCCAATCCAAGCTTAGGGAAACACGGATCGGTTAAAACCCCTAAAAACTTTTTCCAAAATGAGAGGGCAGAAAAAATTAGTTATTGAAATATGACGGGAAAGATAGTGAGGTCGCTAATGTAGTTAAAACCGGAAGTCATGTAAAAGACTCATGTAGAGAAATGTTTGCAGTATTTTATAACAAATTATCGCCTAAAAGACCACAATCTTGAGCCTACTGCTAAGACCAAATTTCTCAATGAATAAAGCGTATAGGGCTGTAAAAAGCTCGAAAAAAAAAATAAACGCAACAATCGAACCTTTCAATGCCTCCTTCATTATGTCGACAGCATCTTTCATTAAAGCAGTATGAAATGCACCACTTACAGCCAATCTTTTTACCACCTGTAATTTGGTTTCAATTAAAAATTGCAGAAATGGTGGGAAAAAACCGCATAGGTTTTTTTAAGACTCGCAAAAAATCAAAATTCAGTGAAATACTTTGGTGCCCGGGCTGATTTAAGGGTAGAATTCAAAGCATTTGTGGTAATTCTTTACAACCTTTCATTGTTTTTTGCTCATATTTTCTCTTTAACCCTAAAAAAAGAAACTATCGCCTTTGGGACTTACTGATCTGTTCCAAACTAAAAGCAATTTTACTTGTCTGAGAAACGAACTGCTTTCGATGTGCTTGTCAAGCAACTTTTGAGAAAGTTACCGAAAACTTTGTCAGCCCGCAACTTCAAGGGGAAAAAAGAGTACCTGGAACGAATATTTTTCTTGAGTACTTTCCAGGAATTGCATGCATGTTTCCGAAGCACCTACAACTTTTACACCGCAAAACAAATAGTTCGCCACTTCACAAATAGGCAGCTCACCCTTTTCCCTTAAATTCAAATAAAAAAAAATAAGTTTAAAAAATCAAGTTCAGCTTATTGTAGCGTATAAGCAATTCCTAGGAGCTCAGGGACCAAAGGCGTGGGGCGAAGTAAGTATGAATGAATATGAAAAAACTGAGTTAAGAAGTTTCGGTCCATTAAGTCATATACGTCTTAGCTCAACACTACGACTGGACCTCGTCAGTATGACGATCGTGGTGTTCAGGGAGGAGAAAAGAGAAAAAAACGAAGAGAAGTAGCATCCGTTAAATTCCCCTGGAAACAGTATCTGTCATCTGTAAAGGTATGAAAAACCTCCTTTTCTGGCGGCTAATTTGAAAAGAAGCTAAACAAATTAGTATGAATTTGATAACGAAATTCGACAAATTATCAAATTATTTCTCTTCCATTGGCAGAATCGAAGTAAGTATGAAGGAATATGAAAATGCTGAGTTAAGACGTTTCGGTCCATTAAATCATATACGTCCAAGAAATAATGAATGTAAGCGCTAACTGTAAAAAACCCAGCCTGCTAAACAAAAATTAAGAATAAAATAAAAACAAAACAAAAATAAACCAAGCATAGGTCCTTGCATCCTCAAATGCTTCGTCCAGACGTGAGGCAGCCGAAACCCTCAACGTTAACATTCCAGAACTGAGACGCTGACTGCACTGATTCATTGCTTCAGCACGAATTTTCACCAAACGAAGAGCTCAAATGAGGGCTTTTAAGGAAAAAGTCTAAAAAATACATCTGATGCATTATGCAAAGAGCTAAAATTGCAGATGACTGTTAAATTCTCAAAATTCAAAGAATTTTAATATCAAATTCTCAAAATTCAGATCTACGCTCAGAGAACTTCAGTATCCTCATTAAAAAGAGGAAATATGAATCGTTTTGGGACAGAAGAGCCTTGCATAATTAAATCCGGTATCACATGCATGGGCAATCCAGTCGATTATGCAGCTTCTTTGAAAAATTTCTACTTTTATACTCGATGCTAAATGGAAATAAAGCCTGCTGTGCCGGAAGTGTTCAAAATCTGAAATCGAACCTATAGTCCGCTTTCCTTACTAAGTATAAAAGCTTTTTCCGGAGCGAAAATTCGTTTAGAAGATTCGTTACAGCAACAGCACGTAGCACTGTTTGTGTTCACAACATGCACGGCGGTTAGGAAGCTGTACTGATGCCTTCCATTCCTATTCGCATACTGCGTTCGGTCTGTGTTTATAGCTAAGGGATGAAACAAAGATTAAATATCTTCCTGCACATGATATTTAGACTGATCTCTGAACTCCTATTCTATTATTTTTGTAAGCGTTCTGCCTGTCTTTCGCGAAAAAGTTCAATAATTTCGAAACCCTATACCCAGTTCTACTCAATTGTAATTTTAGATGATGTGTGTTTATGTAAAAAGTAAGGGGATAAAAGGAAATGTGAATAAGTTAAATCTAAATAAAAACCTGAATTGGCTTCCCTAAAATTGGCTTTCCTTCCAAAATACGTCCGTACCTTCAAAAATGGGACCATTCTGATAATTGGCTTCCCTTCTGAACGATGCCGGTACCATCAAAAATGGGATTATTTTAATTTTGCGCTCCATCTCACCAGAAGGTATAATATCGCAACTCTGTTAAAAAGAGCACTTATTCGGGATTTGTCCGGGCGAATACCACAAAACTCACCATCTTTAAAAGAAAGTATGCCGGCAAGCACGAATGCAGCAAATTCACCAACACTAAAGCCAGCCACATCAGTTACGCGACCATCCAGCGTTTCCTCCTCCAATTTAGCTTTCTCCCAAGCAGCTAGAGAACTGACAAACATTGCTGGTTGGCAATAAATTGTTTGATCAAGCTTCGATTTTGGCCCTGCAATAAAGCGATCAGGTATCCGATTGACGATTTGTTATTTAGAGACAACAATTTTGCTAATAGCTATCCACACAAATCATCTCAGCAACGTAAAAGCTGAGAGACTGAATCTTTGGATGTATGTTCATACCCCGTGTGTCATCCTCCTGTTTTAAGATCTTTCCCCATATGCGCCTAGGCCCCGCGTACGGGACCCCCAAAGAAATATGTTGGCGGGAAACAATTTCGCGAACTAGGCAACGTAGAAAGCTGAAACTTTACAGGAACACAGATAACCCCGCGACAATATGCGTTTTGCAAGAACGCGAAGAAGCAATGAAATAATCAGGTATTACGGAGTAAAGATTTGTTACTGAGAGGCAACAATTTTGCTAATAGCTATTTAAAATGACAAAAATTGCTAACACTCACTGATAGCATCACACACAGTAATATGTTCAAGGCCCCGAAAAGCGATACTGCGAAAAGAGTAGCCGTGATCTATTACCAGCTACCAAAGCCAGTAAAATTACTTGCATCACCATACTAAAATCATTTTATAGTACTAAAACACACCAACAAAATGGCTAGTTTGGGGGCAAAAAT